ATCCTGTCCCTTCCTTCACAGGATGCCAAGCATGGCAAACATGTGGACGGATGTTCAGATCCCAGAGGAGGTCAATTGAAAATATAGAACCTTCCCTGGGAGGTCCTCTCACCATGTACAGGAATCCACCTTGAGGTGTCCAGAGGAATGAGAGGTTGTAGAAAGGCTAGAGACCCAATAAAAACAAAAACTTCTGACACAGGAAAAAAAAAAGGAAACATGAAAGCCTGTAAAACCAGAAGCTCCTCATCTTAAAGGCAAAGATATAAAGGATTGAGAAAGCTAAGCCTCCCCCCAGAAAATAGGTGAGAAAGACCATCAGATAAAACACAAATGGAATGGAAGTCAATATTGACTTATGAGCCCGACCAGCCAACACAAATATGCAGACTGAAAAAGAAAAGGGAGACTGTAATAATCCCCATACAATAGGGCTAGGAGAAACCCAACACCCATATAGAGTGAAATGCAGATCCATGAATGCAACTCCTGTGTGAAAGTCCTCAGGAATAAGTAGAAAAACATACAAGCTTGAGTCCTGAAAGAAAGAATAAGAGCCAAGCTACACAGGACCAAATCCCAAGGGGTGTCATTCAGAAAGGGGGACACCAAGAAGATACTATAGGCTCGAAAATTCCCCAAAAACGTCTTCTCAAAGAAGTGGCACCAAATAGAGTTCCCTGAGATAAAATGAGGAAGTCAAACTCTTGAAGATAGGACATCCCAATGAAACAAATCCAGGAAATTCAAAAAATCAAATTAACTGGGCAACTGCTAAAGAAGACAATCAAGGCATGGAAAACACTTAAGTCAGATATCCTCAGCATAACTGTTGAGGGTGTGATACAGAGGACAGATATCGAACAAGTCAAACATGCAAAAGACAAACATGAGCAGGCTGAAGGTAAAGGAGAGTTAAATGATGTTAAGAAAAAAATACCCAGATGGAAAAAAAGATTTAAGGGAGTGGAGTTCTTGAAAAGACTAAGAATTCTGACCAGAGGCCACAGAAGAATCTTAAATTTGGGAAAGATGTGGCAAATAAGAGTCAACATGAAGCTGAGGTAGAAAAGAATCTGTAATAATGGAAAAAATATGGCAAGGGAAGCAAAGAATCCTAGTGGTAAGGTGGATGTATGAAGCTCACCTGAAAACAAGGAGAAACAAGCTACAGCTGGAGTAAGAGAAAAATGTCACATGCCTGTGATAAACAACTGAAGGACAATGATGTGATATTACCTGATTCTTGTCATGAATAGAATGATAAGCAAATGTAGGTTATGGGAAGAGCTAGAACAAAATTGTCCAAATTTAAAGGAGGCACAGCAGATGCTACAGAAGCAGAAGGCTGTGAGTTCTGGGTCTGGGATAAAGAATTCAGGATAGAATCAACCATTTGATGTTCAATGTCAAGAACATGGCTCATTGTCACAGTACCCCAGTCACCATTTAAGTAAAATAACAAATCTCCTCCTCCTTAGAAGGAGAGTCTCAACCTCAAGAGGTTCAGGAATATGGATACGAGAATTTCAATTCAATATATATATATTTTTTTTTATGACATTATGATATTGATAAAGCCAAGAATAAATAATGGTTTCCACCAAAACCAAAACACAGAGTTATTGACAATAGAGAATTATTCTTTCTAGGTACTCAAACATTGTCTCTGGAATGTGTGACCTAAATCTCTTGGGCCAATTAAAGAAAAAAAGAAATCAAATTAATATAAGGATATTTAATAATTGGTATTAGAGGCTTTAAATGAAATTAAGTTAAAAGTTGCAACTTTCTTTTTTGAAAATCAAAAAAACAAAGTAAAGAAATTCCAAATGAAAAAAAAAACAATACGATTCAACATTGAAATGTGCCAAGAAAAATAATAAACTTTTGTTATATGTGAAGTACTAAAGGAGAGTACTATACAAGGAAAACGTGTCACCCTTTTAATGAAGGAAAGGTATAATACAACACTGATTGCATCATAGAATTGTGCAGTGCACAATATTACATGTAGGGGTGGAAGTTTCATTAAAAGGCTTGGCATCTCCAAACACATTTTTTGTCAGTAGCAAAAGTATTAGATATCCGTTCTGTGGAAAGGTGAGTAGTATGTTCTGAATTGCATGTTATGGCTGGAACTGTCATAGTAGCTAATTAATTACTGTAGTTCTGGGTAATATCCAACAAATATCACTACATGCCATGACTTATTCATATTCAAAAACATATTACATGATATATATCCTAGATGTAATTCTAAGTGTACAAGTTAACCAATAGAAATATGCATAACAAAACAAGCAAATACAGTAAAGAATAACATGTCAAGAATACATGACCACAAAAGACAAATATGATGTAGTCCTACAGCACAGTATGTTTAAAATTGTTAGTGGATGAAATGGCATGAAAAGCTGACATACAAGAGATACATTATTGATTAACAAAATTAGACAGTAGCTGTACGAGCTGGGTTCAGTACTTAAACCGTTAGTATGATAATGTTTAACTAAGTAAGGATTTTAGAATCATAACAAAATAACTTTCATGAATCTAATACCACATTTATAAATAACAATACAGCTACAGATATGGTTAAGATACACTACAAAATCCTCTCATGGTTGAACAACCTAATGGAAAAATTACAGGACTTTCAGCGCCTTTTACAGAATCAAACTAACATTTTAAAGGACCTAATTTAATATTTTAAGAGAATATTGTTATGTATCTGCTTGTTTGTTAATTTCCGGTATAAATTCTTTCCGAGGAATTTCAGCGATATACAAGTCCATTCTTGATTAAACCAGTTTATTCTTTCTTGATACAAACTTTTAGTACACAGTAATTCCACAGTCAGTATGTTTCTCATCACTTTAAACTTAACAACTTTTATAACACGCTATAAATCACAGCAATTCACAATCTCAATAACTTTGCTCTCTACGAGTGCAAAACACACACTAGCCCGAAACTCACTGTGACTACTGTTTGTTCTATGATACATTCATTCCACTGGCTTTTCTCGCCAGGCTTATATATTAACAAAGAGGCTTCTCTCGATCACACTCGAGCTTCCCTGAAAATTCGAGAAATTCAGTCATGCATGCTCCCAGCATCACGTCACTTCCGCTGTCGTAACACTTTTAACTCCACCAAAATTTAAGGTAACTAATGTTGGATTATATTTCATATAAAATGTTCTAGCAATATCTACACTGAACTGCAAGTAAAAAGGAAAAGAAGTTAATTTGCCCTTCTTTTTTGTTTTTAATGTATACTTTGCCAATTAGTAGAAGTATTAATATCCATTAATGAAGGAGTGAATTTGCACTTCTCTAGCATAATTTGACAAACACCTGAGCTATTGAAAAACATTTATTCAAGCAAAATAAGAGATTATGAAACAAGACATTAAAAGAAATTCTAGATGATCATGCATTACTGAACAAAGTCCTAATGAATTCTTCATCATGTTTCCCAATGTATGCTATAACTTCTCTTAGCTTCAATTTCATAACAAGTGATACAACTTTGCATCTTTCTCCCAAACACTGTGCAACCAAATAGAATAATATTTATTACTGAACATCATTTCATCTTGCCAATAGGACAAAAAATTAACATATATCTGCTTGATTGCTGAACATACAACTCACCATGCCAACCAAAGTCAACAAAGCAAAGATAGATTCATAATGTTACTGAGATCACTCTTATTGTTGAACACATTAACAATGTTGTATATCTTGTTGGTTTCCTACCAAGTTATATTCTATTATTTTAAAATGTTTTCTCAGTTTAATGCTACAACTCCACCTAACAATAAACTTTCAGAGTTGGAAATCTTGTGGGACAATAAAACATTTATATTTCAATGTGTTCAGTCTGTAAACTTTCTTGTATGATAACATATACCCACATTTAAATAGTATTGAAAACAATGAATTATCTGAATAATTTTGTTTGTAGTCACTCGTGCTGACATGTGTATATATACAATTATGTACAATCATGAACTAGTTTTTTTAAAGAATTTTATTAATTTTAGATATAAAAAATAACTAATAACAGAAGACAAAATAATATTACCATATTTACAGTCCTGGTTGTCCCTTTATAAAGCAGATTGTTCTTGAAGTATTTAATAATGGGGCTCAAAATGTAACTCAAAATATCTTGACCATGATCAATCACTGTATAAATAAGGTATGACCTATAAGGTACATATTTACAGGCTGTCTTTAATGGAACTATCTAATGTTTATGACACTCATTCTATTATACTGTTACTGTTTGGATTTGCATTTCTCTCTCATTTGTTTATTAAAATTGTTTTGTCAATAACTGACAAGGAACTTATAACAGAAACATCATTAATTAGTTATTAAATATTTCTGTTGAAGATAGAATTTTATTATTTTAGATTCTGCCAAACAAGTCCTGCACTTACTTCACACCAACAATATCATTCCAACAGTTATCAAATGATACCTGTTCACTTGCAGAGGAGGGAAATACTTTGAAGCCTACTACTGATCAGTATTGAAAGTCAGCCTATTCCTCATTTTACGAGTTACATTTTCATGGTTGTTTTTTTGCAAAACTGAGATAAATACAACAGTATGGTACAGCTTATCATCAATAAAATCTGATGATGTAGGAACTATGAAGCTAGACTTTCAAAAACTTTTCCAGGAATTTCAGAAAAAAACTACTGATTTTTCAAATTTTCCAATACTGAGAATTTATGTTTTTAAATTGCATGACTTTTCAGGATTTTCATGATCTATACCTATCAAGCACCAGGGACTTCCAGTGGCTGTATCATACTAATATATGAATTAATTTAGAAATTCAGTATTTTGTTTTGAAAGAGAAGAAAACACATATAAATTTAGATAATTAATGGGTGGGGAGAATGTATGTCAAATTGAATGGGTATATTTTATAAGTTCCCATACAAATCCCTTTAGGAGCAACAGAAACATACTTACTGAATGAACTGTGAATCCAGTGAGCTAACACAATAAAGATCTGGATTAGGAAATACTGCAACATTTGATTTTCTAAGTTGCCTTGTAATGTAAATAGCTAGGTCTCTCAACTTGTTTGTGGCTCCAGATGCTGTTATTGTGACTTTGTATGGAGCTAGCTGATGATGAATCCTCAGAACCTACATACAAGTAAACCCCAAATATTCATTGAAATAATTTTCCTAGTAACTTCCACTCTCCCAATAAAAATAAAATTGCATTTCCTCATGATTAAAAATGTTACAATTATAAATAAATATTACATCATTTTTAACATGCCTAGATGTGCTGTTTACCATTTTCTATCCAGTAATAACCACATGCATTACCATATATATGATTATCTGTGTGGTAACCAGGGGTCTAATTATTAATGCCAATGATTAATATAACTCTATCCTTCAACTAAATTTTCAGTCAGTACAGTCTTTTATTATTATTTCTATTTCTGATTTGCTTTTACAGTTCATGGATTTATAGGTAGTTAAAACACAGTATACCATGACAGAAATCCTGGTAAAAATATGTGTATTTGGAGAATACATTTTACACAGTTCATCTTGATATAAAGACAAATAGTATTTAAGCTGAGTAAAGACAAATTCTCAATTATTGACACAGTAATCAACTTTTTATTTGCATCTCTTGAGTTATGTACAAACTATAATACAAAACCGATTTATATTTATATATATATATATCCATAAACATATTTTAGCTCTCCCTTTACACAGAGATTTGCTTGAATTTTCATGTTCTTTCTCATAACTTCACCTCAGCTGGCTTTATCTGGGAACTTCTTCTATGCTACAAAAATATTAAAAATTCAATTGTACAGATTACTGAATTGTCAGGTATATAAATAAATTACTTCCTCCATACTAGTATTATACTGAATTACAATTAAGCAATAGTAATATGAAAAACATTTTGTTTATATAAGAACAATGTAGGAATGAACGTATAAATACTGAACAATAAAAATGACACTTCTAGTAAAAAAAAAAAAAAGGCAAGTGTAATACCAGTATCTTATAACTATATGAAAAACAAGAACCTACAAATAATGTCTGCTGCATTCATAGGATCCATCCAGTTTTGAGCAGCTAAAGACTTAGATGATGAATTTGGTGTGAAGAACCATTATGTTGATAGTGACTTGCCAATGGCACGTCAAAATATGTCTGTCTTTTTAGTTGAGGAATGCAACCAGTGAGCCTGATAGATGAAAGATCACAGAAAACAAAAGAATGTTATGGAACAATTACACAGGAATGAGAACCATGAAATGGAGGCAGTATGAGCCAAATAACATAGTAGGGAACAAACTGGACAAAGAAGATGATCCAGATCTGAGTGGGGAATACAGGTGGGAAAAGGAAGGTAAGGAAGGCCCAATCCCAATAGCGGATAACATACGAAGAATGGGAAAGGATGGCATAAGTATTGGAACAATGATGACCACATGTGAGGAGGGGAGGAATTAGGTCTTAAAAGAAATATGGTACAAGAAACAAATTGCAACAGGTTAAAAGGGAAAACCTGAACATGAAGAGACCACTCTGAGGAAAACCTGGTTAAGATGTGGTAAGAGATTGGCCACATTATTCATAACTCTGGGAATATGACCCACTAGAACTGCCATGTTGTGGTCACTGGTCTAGTACAGGAAATCCAGAATGTGAAAAGACAGTGATCTAGACTTGATTCCCCTTGTTTGGTGATAAAGCTGATGACAGAGGAATTGTCAGAATGAACTATAAACACTCACTCCTGCAGGAAAGGGAACAAATGATACAAAACCCGATGAACTGCCAAAGGTTCCAGGATTTGGATACGGAGAGTAGCTTCTTTGACTGACTGCCAACCTTAAATCTCTGGGGAATTGAGGAAAGCTCCCCCCTACCCACCTAGGAAGCATCTGAGAACAGATGAGGCAGAGGAATGGGAATGCCCACAGTGGTCAAGTCCCTGTCGAGCCAGCAAGCAAGGCTGGCCCCGATCCTAGGTGGAAGGGAGATGGGATGATCCAAAGGATCACGGGGAAAGTTTCACTGGTCGAGAAGCATCCAATGAAGGGAATGCATGTGTGTCCAACTCAAGAGAATGAGGACTTCCAAGGAAGCCCACATCCTCAAAAGGGATAGAACATCACATACAGAGAGAGAAGGAAGGGCTATTATGACTGCCCACTCCACATCCTGTAGCCGAGGTGGAGAAGGCTGGGCTTGACTGAGACAGGAAGTCAAGAGAACCCCTAAAACAATAAGATACTATGAGGGGGTATTAAAGGACTTCTCCAACTTGATGAGAAACCCCACTCAAGCAGCTTCTAGAATAAGGCAGTGGGTGTGTGACTAACTGGACATAGTAAGAGGCGAGCAGAAGCCAGTCGTCCATGAAATGGTGAGTCCAAAAACCCAGTGAGTGAAGATAACATGCAAAAAAGCATACCACTCGACCAAACACATATGGATCTGAAGAAAGACAGAAAAGTAGCATCCAGAACTGGAAGACAGAACCATCATAATGAATCAAGAAAAAAGGCATCACACCAGGGCAAAAAACTCATCATAGTGAGAAGTAGGACTCCATGGTGAATACAGCTAGGATAGATCGATGATGAGACTATAAACTCCTGTATTTTTTGGAAACAAAACAGAGACACAAGTAAAATCCTAGTATAGCGAGCACTACCCTTTTGATAACTCCTTGGTGCAATAGGACTTGAACAGAAAAGTGTAGAGTCTGTAAAGTACATAAAAATAACAAACCTGCAAAAATTATGAAATTCGACGTAAAACAATAAGTAACATCTAAAGTACAAAACTACTAAAGGAACTGAAAAGAGAAATGGCCCTTAAATATCAAATTTATAAGTCCACTCAAAGAATCTATAAGACAAAGGACACGAAAATAAAACCAATCCCGAAGAACATGAGAATAAAAATGCACCCAGTTAACAAGAACAACGTTTGACTCAAAACCAATCCCCAATTACATGTAACTAGTAGTAAAGAAAAAGAACTTTCAAACTAAATAACATTAACAGTAAAAATTTCAACAAAAAGTAAAGGAATAAACAAACTCCAAACACAAGTTTAAACTAAAGTAACCTAGATATTAAAAGAAGTATAAAAATCGAACTTACACAACACGAAGCAGAGAAGACATGAATAACCTAATTATTGAGTACAGAAATTAGATCCATCCACATTAGCTCACATAAACTCATTGAACATGGGTATATCTACAGGGAGTGAGAAATACACACTGAAAACTTACCACTGATCTTCTGGGAAAAATAACAATGTCTAACCCATCAGATTACGAGGAGGCACAGTATAAGGTGGAAAATGCCATAGAAACAAACTTTCCATACAATAGTTCTATCCCTCTGCACTAGAAAAGTAACTCCAAAGGCACAAATCACTGGCCAAACATAAGATATGAATTCGCCGCAAATTAAGCCTGTGCTTTCCTAGCAGACATTGTTGACCCCGAGACCTGGGGATTAGTGTTAGAACTATTGTCTACTTATGGCAGGAATATTATCATCCACCATATTAAATCTCGAATTCACATGTACAAAGTATAATTCGGAAAACAGAAACATTACAAAAACAAAAGACTAGAAACTATGAAAATCAAACACAAGAATTTGAAACTTGAAGTTGAAACTGATATAAACTTGGGATCAAGCACAATCAAAATTTTGTAGTCACATGGAAAATGAGTTAAAACACATGTCTATACACTAGAATACCAATCAAGAAAGTGAGGATTATGCTACAATGATAAAGGGAACTACCTGTGCTAGTATAGAAGGCACAGTATGATTGGTTGTGGTCACATGATCACACATGTTGCTGCAATGGTGCAAAAATGAAGAGGTATAATAGACTGGTGCACTGTTGAAAATTTTAGCAGTGCTTAGAGGACAAATCAAGGTCTAGATAGCTTTGTAAGAGGTTGTACCATTTCAAATATAACTATATATAGATGTATAATGTTATGAGATTAAAGCTATTTAGACTAAACATTTATAGTTTCTTGTTATAATTTGCAGTCATTTTAAAACAAAAAAAAGTGTAATTTATATCTATTTCCTAATTGTTTATGTTGGTTACAAGGTCAGTCAAATCACCCAAACCTGTACGGGGATACAATAGTGAAAATAACATATAAAATATAAAGTTTTTCTAAAGAAAAAAAATCTGATAATTATCTTGAGGTTATAAAGATTTTTCATGTGAAATTTGAAATTTTTCTTATGCATAAAAGTATTTTTACTCTGGGACTGAGCTTGTAGTAAGCGTTAAGCAGTCATTCAGAAATTACAAAATGAAAATTAAAAATACCATGTGAAACCAACATCTAAAAAACTTTGAAGATGCTTTTCCATCTTACAATCAGGTTGTTAATGTCCTGATTAAAGAAATCATTTGGCTTTGAAGCAAAAAACCTGTCGATGTCCTCTTTAACATCTTCCACATTTGCATACATTTTCCCATTAAGATGGTGTTGCATCGACTGAAAAAGATGGTAATCTGATGGTGCCATATCTAGACAATATGGTGGGTGTGGGAGAACTTCCCAATCCAACTCTATAATCTTGTGTTGCATCAAACGTGCCACATGTGGATGTGCAATGTTGTGGATAAGAAGAACAACTTTCCGATTGATGAGCAAAAGGTGTTTCTAATGAAGGGCTTGATTTAACTGTTCCAGTTGCTGACTATAGATCTCTGCATTGACAGTTCAATGTTGATTGTGGAGGTCGAAATGAATCATACCTTTGATGTCCCACCAAATGCAAAGCATCACTTTCTGTGGATGGATTCCAGGTTTAGGGGTCAGAAGTGGTTTTTATCTAGGACTGAGCCATTGTTTTTGGCATTTAATATTTGCATAGAGAATCCATTTTTCATCACAATTCTGTCCAAAAATGGCTCGTGCATATTACATGCCAGAAGAGATGAAGCACTCAAACACCTTCTTTATGGAGTTTTCCCATATTCCTTAGATGTTTACATATTGTTTCATGAGAGACGTACAATTTCAGAGCCATTTCATGAGTGTGTTGCCTTGGGTTAGACTCAAAAAGCATCGTCAGGGCCTCAATATCAATTCCAACATGTCAGCCTCTGCCATCACAGATTTTAAGGCTAAAATCACCTGAATAAATTTGCTGAACCATTGTTGACACTTACGAACGTTCAAAACATTTCCATAAACTTCTTTGATATTCTTTGTGGCTATAGAGGCATTGTTTCCCTTCTTGTATTCAAACAGCATTACATACCGAATGCGTGTCTCATCATGTACAATCACCATAAGAGATTAGAGTATACTAAACTTTACACATTATATAAGCTACACTAACGTGATGTTTAGGCAGTTCGTTTGACTATCATACATGATATAAATTTTTTGGAGGGTGGTTAATGAAAGTGTTCCAAAATGAAACATTAATTTTTTGATGACCTAATACTAAATTAAAAACCTAATACCTTAATAAATATATTATTTGTTTCTATTTATAAGTCACACTAAGTTGCATTTCAAAACACAAGGCTTCAAATGAGTAGGATTAAGTATCCAAATATGAAAATATATATAATTTACAATGTATTTATATTGCGCATTATTTAAAATAAAACAGCTTTCACATACCTCATCATTCAATAGCCTGGAGGTCTGAACATTATCATTTTATCATGGCAGGCTAATTGTTGGCTGTCAGCCCCTAATGAGCATGTGTTGTCCATTCTTGATCATTCCCCGTGAAAGCATTTCAGCTTTAAAAGCCAAGTCCAACAAGTCCAGATTTCAGATCTTGTAAATACAATATGTAAGTGTTTATGCCTTAAATACTGCAAAAAGCAGATCCACTAAATATATCTGTCTTTTGTTTGATTATTGAACAAAACAACATTCTTTCTGGGGTAGGTGTCTATTTATTGAGTTTTTTGCAAAACAATTTCTAAATCTTTTTACATCTTTAAAATGATTTAACATAAGTTATCTCACTGAACTGCTTTAAGTTTATACTTATGTTTGCCATTAGGAGAAATTCCATAGTGCTATCCATCATTTACACAATCTCAATTGTTGTATATGTATTGTAAATCATATATATATATATATATTAATGTAAACAAATTTTTAAGCACTTGACCAGGATGTCATATTGAATGTATAAAGCTAATGTTTTCTTCTAACTGGTTAGAAAATGTTTTCACAAGATAATGACATGGAGTAAACATTACAGTCCATATAATAATGGTTTTTCAAATTGTTTCAGTCTAGGACTCAGTTCTTAACACCATAACTAATATCTGGAATGTGGAGTTTTAGGTTTGAATTTCAAGTAATTAAACACTTGCTATCCGAAAGGCATTTACAATATTAACTTGCAAACTAAAATTATGTATGCTTCACATGTTCTTTTCAATCTATCCATTTTACTATTTCATTTTTGGACCAAAGATTGAGCAATCTTTATGTAATAAAGGAACGGTTACTTACAGTAGACACAACCTTATGACTCTGATTTCATAAATATTTATGTACTTTGTGTTATTGTGGTTTATTTGATAGGTCAGGATGAACTCTTACTTAATTAAGGAGTGTTTTGGTGGGTGTGGCATTCAATTCAAGAATACTACAGAAATTTCTATTTCAGTAAATTAATACTTTTAAGGTACATTGTTTAGTTTGTTGGCATAATAATTAGCTAGAACAGCAACATCTATATTTGTTGAAAATAACATATAGTAATGGAAACAGCACATTACAAGTAAGTTTGTGAAATACATCTATTTTAGGTTACTAACTAGAAATTGTATTATGAAAATTTGAATTATGTATTGTTTAAATCAAATAACTGTAAATTTGCTTAAGACTATTATAGTTTTATTTTGCATTTATTTCGTATTAAACTAGTATGAAGTAATTAAAAACAGAACATTTATGTCTTATTTCTTAGTGTAATTAGCTTTCATAAATGTCATATACTATAAAATTAAACAGTTATGATTTTAAGAATTAGGATGAATATAATATAAACAAATAATTATGTAATAATCTGTTAAATCTATATGATAGTATGTGATAATCACATGAAAACAAAAGCTAAATTCAAAAATACAATACAATGTGGATAACTATGTAAAATGTAACTACGTTACCTAAATGTTTTGTCTTTGCAAATACCCATTTTGGTTTTTCACAAACTTACCTGTCTAGTTCTGCTGTTAGTTTCTCTTTCTTGATAAGCATCAAACAGATAATTTAGCACTGCCAAATCTAAATTTGTTTCACATTCAATTACATGAGGAACCAAAGTTTTACAGGCCATAGTCTGATCTTTCAAATCTTCTGGTAGGTGACCACTTTTGGTGGTAATTGTTTCAAAAGTAATTTTTTCCCAAGATGTTGTAAATTGAAGACTGACATCTTGTGAAACAGATTTGGTGAGTGAAAAACTGGTAGGCATACCTGCAAACTATAAATGTAAGACAGGTTACTAAATCACAGATTAAATAAAAACAGTTTTATATATGCTTCAAAAGCATACATTTGAAATATAATTTTTTTTAAAACTATACAATTCTGCTAATTCACTTAGGTTAATTTTTAAATCACCAACTTTCTTTTTCAAAGTTGTTGTGGCAAAAAAGTCTAGGTCTCCTACAATGTATTTAGTTGTAGGCCATTTTTAACACAAATTTGGCTTGAAAGTGGAAAATTTGCTTTACTTACTTAGAAACCTAAGTTTTGTATTAATATTTTAATCTAGTTAGAAATTCATTAACAACTTTCTGTAAATTCAATAATCTTCCAAAATCTGCGAGATGCTCCCGAGACATGGGTGACCTCAGACAGGTTTTAATTAATATCAACTTTGAGAAACTTCTCTCTGCAGATGTATAAGTCACTGGAACTTTAGATAGCACCTTGGAAAATTATACACACAGCTGCTAAATCATTGCTGTAAATAAATGAACCTTTCCAAAAGCATCAATACTTTCAAAAGAACTGTAGTTAATTATTGAAGTTGAGCTGCTAAATCAATTCCATCGTACATACCTCCACTGGTACTGGAGAGGGAGTGGTATAGTTAAATCCATGCACAATTTTACAGGTGCATTATTTTAAACATCTTTAATAGCTTTTACATTACTTAGGAATTTAAAACCTGACATATAACTGCAAAGCAACTCAAATACAACTCCCTGTTGCATTAAAGCACAGTTCATGTGATCCAGAGAATGAATGTAAAGTGAGAAAGAAGAAAGCAACATGTTGTCATTCCTATAATGTACAAAAACCTGTCCAGTGTTGTGCAGCAACGATTATTTTTTTCAGGTTTGTATATATCAAGGCACTTCTTTCATCTAACCCAAGTTTCTGGTAGTCCTTAAGCAACTGATAATTCTTTTGCGAATTTTTCAAAACTATTTTTGCTATATTTAAGAAAGATGTTGATATGACATTGAACAAACTACTAGCAATATTAACTCTCATATTTAAGCTCTTCATTTGCTTGATGACTTAATCTAATCGTACAAGCAATTCATAAAGTACTATAAAGAGAATTAGTCTGACAGTCAAAGTAGGTTGTTGTTTTTTTACCTTATCTTACACTGGAGGTCTCATAATGGTTCTTTGTTGAATTTGTATCTTCGGACCATATGCAATCAGAAAATGGAGTATGCTGACACCTTTGGGCATTTTAAAATAATGACTGGTTTCCATGGTAACCCTTCCCCTAATATCAAGCATAATTGTATAGATATGAAAGGGCATATATCAGCAATTACAAGTGATAGAATGTTGAATAAACTGCCCATTTCTACGTTTATTGGCACAATAAATCTACTGGTGCCATCGCTTTATTAATTGGAGACGTATTTTATATGATTATGGCAAGTCTGACAAAAAATTTAAAATTTTTCTGCAATGAAACAAAAGACCAAATAAAAAATAGAATGATTTTTTTTTACTTATAAAATACTTCATCCACTGTTGCAAAAAAGTCTATAAAAACTGTTACAAAAGTTTTATTGAATAATTAAATAGAACTATTATCAAAATGCTCTTTGAATAACAGTAAAATTAATACATCAATCACACAAACCCAAACATACGGAATTATGTAATATGATATGTTTTATTTTTTAAATTAAATTAAACCCCATTCTGTTTGTGTGAATTAACAATATACCAGGACCTGTTTCAATGGCCATATTTACCACCTTTATTTTGACGAGTAAACAAACCAGCATGTGGCTTTTGATAAGGTGTTTAAATACCCATATGTATGCCTTCAAATCATTTAGTAAGTATATACCCATGTCCTAACTTGATGTTTAATGTATTTTTAGAACACAAAAACCATGAATGAGTGTGCATTTGATAAAATCAGTGCCTGCTCTAATCTGAACCAGCCAATCTCAGTTTGCACACAGCAATGAATCACAAATATTATTGAAGGAAGCAAGTTTAGAGATTATGACCAGCATTTGCATATAGACAGAAACTTTTGTGATGACCATAATTACACTGTGTGCTGTCACAAAACTGTGTATCATCATATATTTCAAAATTACACCTTAGGAGACTAGGAAAAATGGACACTCGATCTGTCTCACTAAATCCTTAGGAAAAAACGGCACTGTCATTCTGACATTCAAAGTTTTAACTTCAAAGCACATTGTTTGTTTTGTGAAGATTCATGTCAAATCGATAAGAAGCACCCAGATTGTCAAAAGCAAGTAGTTGTGTGTACTACAGCGTACCGTGGACAACATAAACCATTTAAAGTCATCATATTGGATGCATGTGTTGGGCATGGGGATCAGTAGGCATGAGGTGTCAGTGAGAGTACAAGGATCCTTAGATGATTTACATGCAGAAGATGAAGGTATCATTATGATTGTAAAACCAAATTTATGGCACCATAGTCAGTACAACTTGCAAGTAGAACAACAACTCAAGAGCCAACATCAAAGGAGTGAGCATTTGATCAGCTTATTTCTTATGTAGATGGAGACTGATCTTGAATCAGGAATTCATCTAAAATATATAACCAATACCAAACTTATGGAGGTGAAATTTTGTCAAAACGGAAGTTGCTCACTGAATTGTCAATACATTTTGATGATCTTTTTGCTTTAACATCACCTGGACTTGCAAGTATACTGGTGGACAAAGCCAAAGATGTATTTAACATAATTCCAGAAGATGAGGATGATGAACTAGAACAAGCTATCAAGAAAGTAGAAAAGCACATGAAGACTAATACAAAGATGATTCCTGTGCATAAAGACATGTATCAGTGTCAAATGAATTTTACATCAACCAAAATATACAAGTCAAACCATAATGTATCTTTTGAATAAGTTTATGCCAAGCAATACCCAGAAACTACTGATGATGATAATTTATAACATGATCACAAGCCTCCACAACAAAGCGTGACTCAATTACAAATAGAAATTGGCATGATGATTAAAGAGAAGGAACTTATTCAAGAGCTGTACAAGTGTGGTATTGTTGTTGCTCATATGACAAAGTGCTGAGATTCCACAAATCGGCAGCCATTGCAACCAAGCAAGTGATAACAAGAGGCCTTGTTCATAAATCTCAAAAAAATGTCGGTCTTGTTCAAGTAATTGTTGACAATTTTGACATGAGCATTTCTAGCCAGAATGGCAGACAATCAACCAATGCATTTGCAATGATTCTAACTCAAACGTCAGAAAAAGAAAATGGACCACAAATTCAAGAAACAATATGATGCATCAGAAAAAAAAATGAATGAAAGAGTGGATGATGATGATGTACAGATCCAAAGATACTATGGTCTTACAAAGCGAGAAAATCTGTACTTCCTTTCAATGTTCTGGCAACACAGGTAGTCTCACTCAGTAGAGTATGCGTGAGAGACGTCATAAATAGTAGTTGCAAAATAACACCCAGAATGGAATGGATTTAATACTTATCTAAACAAGACCATACAACAAAACCAGTGTATATACATTGCTGATTAATATGAAACCATCCGATCCAGACAATCTTTTCACAGCTATGCTTGAAGCAGAAAAGCTTGTAAAATCTGTTGGATAAAATACTATGGTATTAACATGTGACTATGTCCTATAATGAGGAAGCATGCATTTCATTATGAACTTCACAGGGAGCATAGGAACTCTAATGGAAAATACTGGACTGTCAGATATTATAGAATGTGCAATTGGTAGTGTTGCCCACATGTTGACTGGCAAAAAGTGCCCACAAAATTTCTGGTCTTTGAGAATGGTAATAGAAGAACTTCTTTACAACATCCTGCACAAAACTGGTAATTCCAATGATATAATGGCTGGCCTGAAATGAAAGGCAGAATGCAGCAAAATCACAGTGTTCTGAGTAGATGTACTATTCAAACCAGTATTGCTCATAACGTTATTTTGTTGAGTTGAAAAAGACGCAGACTCGGCACTTCACTCATGGGCTGCAGAACTTATGATACCCTACATCTTCACAGAACACTACTCTAACTATGCTTGTTATCGTCTTTACTACCAACGGTCAATCTTAATGCTGCTATCAGACATCTTGAAGCGTTTCATGAAAGGAGACCAGGTTACATGTTATATTTTGGGAAGATGGAACAGAATGTGGACAGACATGATGATTGAAACGACATTCATCATATATGGAGAGGGACCAAAGGGATCATTGGCATCACCCTTAAACCAAATACTCTCAAAACTTGGGGACTAAGTCTTCATATATGCAGCATATTGGCACATGCCCTGAAAGATGTAACATCAAATGAAACAAATAACAGCATTCTGCACAAAGAAGAAATGAAAGGAAGAATAACTTCAGATGCTAATGACAAAGCAAAAATCAAGCAAAAACTACAGGAAATAATTGACCCACTTGTTCCGTCCACTCACCCAAGCAGCATCATCATCATCATGAGTGGTAGAATAGTGACGCATCCTGAAGTCAATGTACATGAAGCAGTGTCAATTGGTGAGCAGATGATGAAAATCTACGAAAGTACATGGCCTGATGATTTCCACAACACACTTCCTAAATGAGTTCACACTATGGCAATCAGCAAAAAACATGTTCAAGTAGGCTCAACAAAAGTATATGATCCCAACTTGATATATTCATGGATAATTGGTCTAGAGGCATCTGGTACAGAACAGAACTTGATGAGGTTCGCAAGTATGATTTAGCACCAATTCCAGCCTCTATGTTCACAACAAATGGTGAAATGCAACTAATCATGAGCAAGTCTTCCTTGAAATACAACCTTAAAGTTGATGCAACAACAAGGTCTACCCCAAAGGCTACTAGTGTAATAGCTGATGGATCAGCAGTATTGTGGGTGATGAACTGGCCATCATAAGAAACAGTGTAAAACTACATTGACAATTACACGACATACTTCGCAAGCAATAGGAAAGGACTGGATGTGTATTT